ACTGTTCCTGCTGTCCCCACTTCAGGGGGACAGTGTGATGTCCCCAGAGGTGACGGCTCCTGCCCTGCTGCAGCCTAGCCGCATAGGCCGTTGTCCTCGTGGGGCCGGTCTGTCCTGCACACTCTGCTGCTCCTTTGCTTGGGTAGTTTCACTCCCTCTTGGTAAAGGTGTTGTCTACCACTTCAGACCTTCCTGAAACCCGACAGAGGCTTAGCGTAAAGGAGACAGATGGAAAACGGAGGCTGCAAGGCCGACCTTCTTCTCTCTCTCTCTCTTTTTTTTTTTTTTGGTTGGTCCTGGGACTTGCTCTACCACTTGAGCCACAGCGCCACTTCCAACTTTTTCTGCTTATGTGGTACTGAGGAATAGAGCTTAGGGCTTCATGCCTGCAAGACAAGCTCTCTACCACTGAGCCGCCTTTCCAGCCCATCTCCTGCTTTTAGTGAACTCTTGGGCCCAAGGAAAGAGTCTGTGCTTTTCAGTAAAAGCACCTTCTGCAACCTGCTTTGTAATACTGTCCAAAGCCACCCACCCACAGAGTCAGTGCAGTTTCTATCTGAATTCTGCATGGCTTTTCAACATCCATGAGTTGATTGTGGAGGAATAAGACACACAGATCCTACAGGTCAAGGAACTCATAAGAGTCAAAACGATTTAATCTTTAAAACAGAAAAATGTTGGGAGACTCACTCTTAGTCACTTACAAAACTCACTACAAACCTGGAGTGATCAAGGTGTAGAGCAGTGGCTGTGCAGCGTAAGGACAGACTTACATGACAGTAGAATGGAATCAGAGCCAATTTACCACCAGTGCATTACCAAAAGGACTTCAGGACAACCCAGTGGGCAGGCAGAGACTAACCTTTTCAAAGGTTAGTTAGTGCTCTGGGATAAAAGAAGGAAATTGTACATCACCTTTATAATAATAGTAAAATAGTTAATAATTTAAAAAAGAATGAAATTGGGCCACAGAGACATACACGCAAAAAATTAAAAGTGATCAAGTGTTGAAATGGAAGAACTGAAACTATAAAACTTAGAAGTGCAGCACACGCCTGTCATCCTAGCTATTTAGGAGGCTGAGATATGAGGACTGTGGTTCAAAGCCAGCCCAGGCAGGAAAGTCTGTGAGACTCATCTCCAATTAACTGCCAAAAAAGCCAGAAGTAGAGCTGTGGTTCAAGTGGCAGAGCTCTGGGAGAGCCCCTTAGTTCAAACCCCAGTATTAACACACACACACACACACTTCAAAGAACTATCAAGAAAGTGAAAAAGATAACTAACTCATAGACTGGGGAGAAAACCTTGACAGGCCTCTGGAGGGCAGAGGCAGCCCAGAAAAGCCACTTCCTTATACACCACTTGTCCCAATCATACACCACCTGTGCCAATCGTTCTGCGTGCTTCCAGGGCACTAGCCTGAAACTGCTCAAACTCGCAAAACAAGTTACATGCTAAAAGTTCCTGCTGACCCCAGCCATATAAACCCTGCTACAATCAAACTCTGAGACCTCTCTGATCCGACCAGGGAGTTCACCCGGGAGCATACCCCAATAAACTTTCTTTTCTTCACCTTTACCTCCTCTTGCATGTTCTTTCCTTTTCTAAAACCTTACATAACTCTTTGCAAACCAGAGAGTAAGTACTGATAAACAAAACAAAAACACCCGCATAGGGCTGGGAAGGTGGCTCAGTGGTAGAGCGTTTGCCTTGCATGCATGAGGCCCTGGGTTCGATTCCTCAGCACCACATAAGCAAAAAGAAAAAAGCTGGAAGTGGCGCTGTGGCTCAAGTGGTAGAGCACTAGCTTTGAGCTGAAGAGCTGAGGGACAGAGCCCAGGCCCAGAGTTCAGGACCCACAACTGGACCCAAAAAAAAAAAAAAAAAAAAACACCCGCATACACTCACTGGTGATGGTGCAGACACTTTGGAAAGTAATTTAGCCATTCCTCAAAAACTCAGAGTTAGCATATGACCCACCAATTCCAATACTAGGTGTACACCCCAGAAAACTGAAAGTACATTGCACAGAAACTTATATACATTTATCTTCACAACATCATTGCTCATAATAACCAAAAAAAAAAAAAAACAAAAACCTGCCAGGTACCAGTAAGTCACACCTGTAATACCTAGCTACTCAGGAAGCTGAGATCTGAAGATCAAAGTTCAATACCAGCAGAGCAGAAAAAGTGGAGAGACTTTTACCTCAAATTAACCATTAAAAAGCCAGAAGTGGGGTGTGGCTTGATCAATTGGCATGCCAGCCTTGAGCAAAAAATCCAAGTGAGATCTTAAGACCAAGTTCCAGCTCAGTACCACCACCACACACAAAAAAGGGAAAACCCAAATGTCTATCACCTGATATGTGGGCAAAATAGTAATACCATGCAATGGAATATTGTTTGGCCATAGAAATGAAGTACAGATACATACTTCTAGATGAATCTTGAGAACATTATCCCAAGTAAAAGAAGGCAGTTACAAAGTCACCTATTGTATGATTTCATTCATTTGAAATGCTCAGAATAGGAAAATCTATTAAAGGAGAAAGTTCTGGTTAGTGGTTGCCAACACCTGAGAAGTAATTGCAAATGAGTAGCTTCCTCCGTTGAAGAGGGAAATGTTCTGAAATTAGATTGCAGTGGATTCTTGCATAACTTGATGAATACATGAAAAGCCACTAAGGTGACCTTAGGTGAATGTCATTGTAAGAATCCATCCCAGCCACCCGGGGGGGGGGGGGGGGGGGGACCACGTGGAGACAGTCACGCACGGGAGAAGAAGATTTATAAGAATGTTTAGCCAGGGGGCTGGAAAGGTGGCTCAGTGGTAGAGCGCTTGCCTTGCATGCCCGAGGCCCTGGGTTCGATTCCCCAGCATCACTATAAGCAAAAAGAAAAAAAGCTGGAAGTGGTGATGTGGCTCAAGTGGTAGAGCGCTAGCCTTGAGCTGAAGAGCTGAGGGACAGCGCCCAGGCCCAGAGTTCAGGACCAGACACCCCCCCCAAAAAAAAATTTAGCTGGGCGCCAGTGGCTCACACCTGTAATCCTAGCTACTCAGGAGGCTGAGATCTGAGGATCGCGGTTCAAAGCCAGCCCAGGCAGGAAAGTCAGTGAAACTCTTATCTCCAATAAACCACCAGAAAACTGCAAGTGGCACTGTAGCTCAAAAGTGGTAGCATGCTCACCTTGAACTGAAGAATGCAGGGACAGCGCTCAGGCCCAGAGTTCAAGCCCCAGGACCAACTAAATAAATAAATAAACAAACAAAAAGCCAGACAGATAGACACAGTGGCTTATGCCTCTAACCACAACCATTTAGGAGCTAGAGATTTGAAGGGTCCGAGTTCAAAACCAGGCTAGGCAAAGTGTGGCAAAACTCCTATCTCAACCAACAAGCCAGATATGGTTATACACTGTCTGTGGTCCCAGCTACCCAGGAGGCATGGGTAAGAAGATCATGGTTCAAGGTGGCCCTGGATAAAAACCACAGGGTCCTCCCTGAAAAAACAGAAAGAAGCTGAGGGGTGTGGTTTAAATGGTAGCGTGCCTGTCTAGCAAGTGCAAACTCAAACCCCAATACCTCCCGCACCTGCCAAAAAAAAAAGAAGCCTCAAAACACCATTTTAGGTGTGTGCACCAGAACTCCAGGCCTGGGCTTTTTTGTTTTTTGTCGGTTGTGGGGCCTGAACTCTTGGCCTGGGCGCTGTCCCTCAGCTCTTCAGCTCAAGGACAGCGCTCTACCACTTGAGCCACAGTGCCACTTTCAGTTTTTTCTGCTTAAGTGGTACTGAGGAATGGAACCCAGAACCTCATGTATGAGAGGCAAGCACTCTACCACTGAGCCACCTTCCCACCCTGTCCCTGAGCTTTTTGCTCAGGGCTAGTGCTCTACCTCTTGAGCTACAGCTCCACTGATATCTTTTCTCATTAATTGGAGATAATAGTCTCATGGACTTTCCTGCTAGAGCTGGCTTCGAACTGCGATCTTCAGATCTCAGCCCGCTGAATAGCTAGTTTTGTTTTGTCGGTCGTGGGGCTTGAACTCTGGGCCTAGGTGCTGTTCCTCAGCTCTTCAGCTCAAGGGAGCACTCTACCACCGCTTCCAATTTTCTGGTGGTTTATTGGAGATAAGAGTTTGGGGGGGGGGGGGGGGGGGCTGGGAAGGTGGCCCAGTGGTAGAGTGCTTGCCTTGCATGCTCGAGGCCCTGGGTTCGATTCCTCAGCACCATGTAAGCAAAAAGAAAAAAGCTGGAAGTGGCGCTGTGGCTCAGGGGGTAGCGCTAGCCTTGAGCTGAAGAGCTGAGGGACAGCGCCCAGGCCCAGAGTTCAGGCCCCATGACCGGACCCAAAAACAAAAACAAAAAAGGAGTTTCACGGACTTTCCTGATCTGAGGATCACTTTGAACCGTGATCCTCAGATCTCAGCCCGCTGAATAGCTAGGTTTACAGGCATAAGCCACCAGCACCTGGCTGGCACAGCTAGTGTTAATTTAATTGCATAAGTTTGCTGACCTTCCAAATATGGGGAAATGGGGATGGGCCACGAGTCTGCAGCACACAACCACTTAAGCAACCCAGAGAACCCGAGAACCACCCCTACCTGCGGGAAGGCGTGGCCAGGGCCGGCCGCAGCTCCGCCCATCAGAACAGCCTCTTCCGGCTCTGAGCACGAGGGACGCAGAACCCGCCCTCCCGGCATCCCCTGCGGCAGCCGCAGAATGAATGAAAAATGACACGCTTCCCTGCACCGCGCGTGCGCAAGCGCCGGCAACCTGCGCCGACTGCCGCACGTGCACTGGGCCCCGGACTCCGCGCACGCTCGCTGCGCACGCGCACGTGGCTTTCAGAAGTTCGGCCCGGCGTGGGTCGGGCGGTAGGCGGTGCTGCGCAGAGCGGAGGATGGGGCGGGGCGGGGCGGGGCGGGGCGGGGCGGGGCGGCGCGGCGCGCCGGAGGACGGCGGGGGCCAGGCGGGCCTGCCGAAGGCGCGTGTCCCACCCTTGGTGCTGCTGCGGACCACGGGGCCATGGAGGCCGAGCTGAGCTCTGAGCGCAACGGCCAGGCTCGGGCGCCCGAGGACAGCGCGCGGGCCCTGGCCGAGTTCGCGGCGCTGCACGGCCCGGCGCTGCGGGCCTCGGGCGTCCCGGAGCGGTACTGGGGCCGCCTCCTGCACAAGTTGGAGCACGAGGTACGGCCGGGGCCGGGCCCCCGAGGGGCGGGCCCGGGGCGGAGAGGGGTCCCGGGGAGGGGGGGGAGCGCGGGGCGGAGAGAGGGCGCGGGGCGGAGAGGGGGCCCGGGGGGGGAGCGCGGGGCGGAGAGAGGGCCGGGGGGGGGAGCGCGGGGCGGAGAGGGGGCCGGGGGGGGAGCGCGGGGCGGAGAGGGGACCTGGGGGGCGGGGAGCGCGGGGCGGAGAGAGGGCGCGGGGCGGAGAGAGGGCCGGGGGGGGAGCGCGGGGCGGAGAGGGGGCCGGGGGGGGGAGCGCGGGGCGGAGAGAGGGCCGGGGGGGGGGGGAGCGCGGGGCGGAGAGGGGGCCCCGGGCGGAGAGGGGGCCCGGGGGGGGGAGCGCGGGGCGGAGAGGGGGCCCGGGGGGGGGGAGCGCGGGGCGGAGAGAGGGCCGGGGGGGGGAGCGCGGGGCGGAGAGAGGGCCGGGGGGGGGGGAGCGCGGGGCGGAGAGGGGTGGGGGGGGAGCGCGGGGCCGAGAGGGGGTCGGGGGGGGGGGAGCGCGGGGCGGAGAGGGGTGGGGGGGGAGCGCGGGGCCGAGAGGGGGTGGGGGGGGAGCGCGGGGCGGAGAGGAGGGCGGGGGGGGGGGGCGGGAAAGCGATGGAAACTCCGCCTTTTGGCTGGGGGCGGCCTGGAGTTGGGGAGCCCGAGTTCTCAGCCTGTGCCCCAATCTGGGGTCCTGGGCCGGGCTGGCCGGCGCTGAGGCCCCAGCTGTGTGCCGCCCCGGGGCGGACCCGTCACCCCGCCGGGGCATGCGAACCGCGGCTGGGGCTCGTCTGAGGCTGTCTGCCTGCTGCCGAGAGCTGGAGCCTGTGAGTTTGGGGAGCTGCGTGCGCTCCAGCGCCTGGTGGTTCTTCATGCCTGGGAGACAAAACTTTTAAGGAGGCTTGGATGCCTTTAGGTGCGCCTGGTTTTTGTGGGAACAGTTCCATCCTGCTGCCTGCTGGCTCTAACCTGGGGTTCCCCAGGGTCCCTCTTTCCTGCAGAGGGGTGGTGAGTGAGCCCTGGGATTAGCGGATTTGCCCAGGCGCTCAGGCCAGTGCGGCTTCAGGGCGAGCCAGCCAGGGCCCTGTCCTAAGCTGGAGTCAATTCCTCTTGACTACTCATGTCCCACTTTGAGATAGTTAGGGGTGCAGGTGACCAGAAGGAGCCTCAGAGCCCAGAGGAATGTGTCTCACAGAGATCTAGAAGCCCAGAGTCTGGCTGACTGACTAGAAGCCCAGAGTCTGGCTGACTGAGAGCCCAGGGATTGAACCAGGTATCTTCCTACCAGAACACACTGTTGTAACCCCATCAGCAAGAAGGCAGAGCACCACAGTTGATAAACTGAATTCTAGGCGTCTTTATTGGCAAGGCGGGTGACTGCATGGGGGCATAGGCTTCCCAAATCATGCAGCCCCCAGAGAGCTCAAAGCTAGTCTTTTAAAGATAAAAGCCACATTATCCCAAGCAACATGTGAAGGTTTTAATTTTTTTTCCTCTTCATAGCATACAAAAGCAAGAATGAGCATTGTTAGCAGGTCTAGACTTATTTCCTGGAATGCTGGGCACATGGAACCTTTTGGGGTTTTTCGCAGCACCCTCTAAGCAAATGACAGCTCTGGGGTTAGGAGCCTTTATCCTTGGGGGATAAATGGCATTTCTTCTGTCGGGCTTCTTGCTTAAGGACATAACCTACTTCAATACAAGCGGCTAGCTCAGTGCTAGCGCATGTGCAAGGCCCTGTTCTGTCCCAGCACTGCCAAACAGCAGCAAAACACATATCCAAGGGTATTCAGTGAGAGTCACGGTTCAAAATTTGAATTTTGCTCTTTTCCTGGGCCAGCTGTTTGCTGTGGAGGAACATGCTGGCAGAAGCAGGTATCCTGAGATCCCTGTTCTCTGGGATCAGTGACCACAGGGGACTGGGTGGCAAGGTGCCAAGTACATAACCTTGTCACAAGTTCAGGTGCCTCAGTTTGGTTTAACAGGCTCCGTGTGAGCTGGGCCTCCCCACAGCGGTGTCTTCTGTGTCTTTGCCCATCACCTGCCCTTCCCTGAAGGCTCACCCTGGTCCCAAGCCTGTGCTGTGGTGGAAGAAGACCCCAGGGAAGATACAAAGAGGATCCCTGTGTGAGTGAAAATGGGCCATGTGAGATCCCCTAGGTCCTGCCCTGCATCCCACAGGGGTAATAGACCCATCTAAGCCCTGTCTCGGTGTGGGAAGCAGAGTGATGAGACCTTACCACCAGGGAGCTAGGGGTGTCAAGAAAGATAAGCTCCAGCTTGTAGAGGTGGTCACTAGAATTTCCAGTCCTGCCCTGGCCAGTCCCGCCACTGTGTCCTGGCCAGGGGCGGCCTGTGTCTTTCCATAGCTCTCACATGCAGAGCTGAGTCATTCTGAGTCATGAAGAACCTGCACGGGGGCCAGGCCAGGGAGGAGACCAGCAGGACCCGCACCTGCACGACCACAGGTGATCAGGCCCTCATCTGTGCCGGGCCAGTGCCTTGGTGCCTTGGCTTGGACCTAGGCTTCAGAAGGAGAGGAGTGACTTAGACACTACCACCAGCTCCTCTGCCAGAACCTTCCATAAAGCTTCTTCCCTTGGCAGTTTCCCTAGGGGCTCCTCTGGTCCCACCTTTGGTGTTTGGCACCCTATTACACAGCACAGGAGAAGCCAAGGTTTGAGGAAGCCTCGGGCGTGAGTTCCATCCCCCAGCTTCCTTCCTAATCTTCAGGGCAAGGCTGCTTGGGCCTCCTCGGGATGGCTTCGAGAGTTGAGGACTTAGCTTCAGGCTCTGTGCTTTTCTCCTCCTAGGAACCCCACTCCTATCTCCAGTGCCCCACATAGCCCTCCCAGTGCAGCAGAGTAGTTTCCGTGGGCTCTGAGGGCCTGGCCCTTGAGGGGCTACCAGCCCAGGCACGATCCCCTGTGATCCGTCTCCCCTCCGCATAGCGGCACACTGGACACTCCCTGCCTGCCAAAGCTGCCTGTGCCTGCAGAGGTGGCTCCTTCCAGCAGGCACAGAGTGCTGGGAAGAGAAGGTGCAAGGCAAGAGCTAGCTAGGTTTGGTTGCCTCCCTGCAGTGGATTGGGAACCTTATGGCACGTTTTCGCTAACTCACACGAGGATGAGGACACGAGTTCTCTCCCAGCCTTTAATCCTCCCAGCAACCCTGGAGGAAGGCCACTGCACGCACCGGGAAACAAGCAACAAGTGGCCAAGAACCTTGTTCAAGGGCACATAGGTTGAAGCAGCAGTTACAAGATCTGAACCACAGAGGCAGTCTGAAAATCCGAACCCCCCCGCCCTCCCCCCATGTCTTTGCTGGCTCCCACAGAGAACACGTAAGTGGCTGGAACAGCAGAACTGCTGACAAGAGGCCAGCGTGTCTGCTTTTCTAGCTGCTTGAGGTTCAGAAGTGGCCTTGGAAACCCAAGCCCATGCTTCCTGTCTTGAGGACTTGCCGCAGGCCCCTCAGGCCCCGAGCTGCCTGCGTGTGCTGACCAATGATGTAGAAGACCCCATAGATTGCCTGGCTGCCCTGGTCTTACGTTATTTCTGATGAGAAGGAAGTCCAGTTGTGTTTTCCCTATAGAACAAGCACTGTGGCCATATCCAAACTCGGTGTCCTGTGCGGCTGTGGCGTAGATCAGGTCCCTGTGATGTCCCTGGGAGTCTGTCGGATTTTGTGGGGAGATTGTCAATGACATGCCCAGCTTCCTTCTTGCTTTTCAAAGGGGTCTGATGGCCTTCCGGCCTGTGCATGGCCCTCATCCCCTGCTGCCTGTGCTCTGACCCCAGGTTTTTGACGCCGGGGAGATGTTTGGGATAATGCAAGTGCAGGAGGTGGAAGAGGATGCTGTGGAGGATGAGGCTGCCGGGGAGGCCCGGAGGAAGCAGCCCAACCCAGGCGGGGAGCTATGCTACAAGGTCATCGTGACCAGCGAGAGCGGGCTGCAGGCCTCAGACCCAAACAGGTAGGAGCCATGGCTGGATGTGCATGCTGTCAGAGCCCGCTTCTGTGTAGAGGTCACCAAGACACTGGCTGTTGGACAGCCCTCATGAGCCGAGCTCCATGCTTGTAACCCCCCCAAGACGGCCGATGTCCAGCCTTGCCTCCCGGTTTCTGAGTGTGTCCACATCTGCAGTCCAGAAGTACCTCTGTGATCCTGGACCCTGATGGTGCCTCCCACTATAGGTGTGTTTCAGGTCCCACAGTTTTGCCAAAGAGATCAGGACTCTCCCCTGCCCCCGCCCCCGGGGAAGATTCCCTGTGACTACTTTCGTTGGTGAGGGGTCTAGGTGCTGCACCCCAAGGCCCTGCAGCCTTGCTGAACCAGACACGGGGTTGGCCTGGTCTTCTTGAGAGCCACTCAGTCCTTTGAGCAGGTCACAGATGAGACCCGAGACCCAGGGCTGCCTTCTGCCCAGGGCCACTGTCCTCAGCAGTGCCAGGCTGCCCGCTCTTCTGCCAAGTGAAGAAACTTGCCGTCCTCTGAGGGTCCCCAGAATCCAGGCTGTCCTGCTTTGTCTGTGTCCTTCTCCACCTGTAGGTGGTGGGCATCCAGCCCACCCTGTAGCTCTGCGCAGCACCCCATCTGCCACTCCCTGTGCTTCATTCCACTCACTAATTAGTCTTTCCCGGCTGCTAGGCCCTAGCAGGCTCCTCCATCTCCTTTGCCCCACCTGCATCTGCCGGGTCCCTCAAGCCACCCGGCACACACTGCTAAAGGCCCACTCTGCAGTTTGTTTTAGGGCATGCAAACAAATTAAAAAATAGAAGTATACTCTCTCAGCTACTCTAGAGGTTAAGCTAGGGAGGGAGGAGGAGAGCTCAGGACCCTTCTGAGAAAAGTTAGCAAGGTCCTGTTAAAACAACAAAATCAAACAACTAGCTACTCAGAAGGCTGAGATCTGAGGATCAGGGTTCAAAGCCAGCCCTGGCAGGAAAGCCCATTAGACTCTGATCTCCAATTAACCACCAGAAAACTGGCAGTGGAGCTGTGGTTCACAGTGGTAGAGCACTTGCTTTGAAGCTAAAGTGCTCCGGGACAGCACCCAAGCTCTTAGTTAACAGCTCCACAACCAACAACAAAAAAGGATTGGGGATATGGCTCAAATGGTAGAATGCTTGCCTAGCATGTAGCCCTGGGTTCTATCAAACGAGAAAAAAAAGACTGGCACCAATGACTTACCCGTATAATCCTAGCTACCCAGGAAGCTGAGATCTGAGGATTGCAATTTGAAGTCCACTCAGGTAGAAAAACCATGAGATTTTTTTCCTCACGGGCACTAGTTCAGGACCCACTTTAGGGACCAATAAAGGAAAAGCTAGGCACCAGTGGCGCATGCCTGTAATCCTAGCTTCTTGGGAGGCTGAGATCAGAGGATTGAAGTTCCATGCCAGCCCGGGCAGAAAAGTCCTTTACATCCCGTCTCAAGGCAAGAGGCTGGATGTGGTGACACACTTACCTCAACTTCTACGGAAACAAAAAGCAGGAGAGCCGTCCAAGTGTGCACTATGGTAGGAAGCAAGGCCCCATCTCAGAAATACCCAGCACAATAAAATTTGAAGGAATGGCTCAGCAGCAGAGCATCTGCCTAGCAAGCTCTGGGCCTTATTTCAAATCCCAATACTGCCCCCCAAAACAAATGCTCATATGAGCACAATAAGATTCCTGCCTTTGCCCTGAGCCCAGAGTTTCTGCTGTTGCTTTCATTCTGCAGGGGGAATACAGTCAGAGCAGCTGAGGGGCTGCCTCGCTCATAGAGCACCTTCTTGTTGGGAGCCAGCGAAGCTCTGGGCCATGGCCTACTCAGGCCCTATCCTGGAATGTAGAAGGCCACACCTGGCCTTAGACCTGCTGCTAGAGTGCCTGCCCCACCCCAGCGTTGTGGGAGCTGCACAGGCCATGGACAGTCACGGGCAGGGCAGAAAGCCCGCTGTGGGGTGAGTGCCGTGTGTCTCTCCTCTGCACACCCCCCTGCTGCTGCTCCTGTGTGTGGAGTCGTGGTTCCGCTTTTTGTTTTTCTTTATGGAATTGAACCCTGGGTCTCATGCATGCCAGACAAGTGTCTTAACCACCTGAGCCAAGGCCCCAGACTTTGTTCGCTTGTGTGGTTTTTGTTGTTTTTGTTTTTGGCTCAGGTGTGAGGCTTGAGCTCTGGGCCTGGGCACTGTCCTGAGCTCTGCAGCTCAAGGCGAGTGCTCTACCACTTGAGCCACAGGGCCACTTCCGTTTTTCTGGTGGTTAACTGGAGATAAGAGTCTCACAGGGGCTGGGAAGGTGGCTCAATGGTAGAGCTCTTGCCTTGCATGCCTGAGGCTCTGGGTTTGATTCCTCAGCACCACATAAGCAAAAAGGAAAAAGCCAGAAGTTGTGCTGTGGCTCAAGTGGTAGAGCGCTAGCCTTGAGCTGAAGAGCTGAGGGACAGCGCCCAGGCCCAGAGTTCAGGCCCCACGACCAGACAAAAAAAAAGTCTCACAGACTTTCCTGCCTGGGCTGGCTTTGAATCATAATCCTCAGAGTTCAGCCTCCTGAGTAGCTAGGATTACAGTTGTGAGCCACCAGCACCCTGCTTGTATTTCAGTTTTGATACAAATTCTTGTTCAAACTGCTCCAACTAGCCTTAAACTCAAGGTCCTCTTACCTCCTCCAGAGTTGCTGGGATTATGGGTGTGTGGCACCATGCCTGGCCAGCCTTTGCTCTTGACGGTGCTGGTGCTGCTACAGGAAGCAGGCGGGACTGCTCGGGTCTGCCCCGCAGCAGCTGGGAGCCAGTGGCTGACACGTAGGCTTGGTGTCTGCAGTGCCACCACACTCAGTGTGCTCAGCTACCTGGTGTTCAGTGCATGTGGAAAGGAAGTCCACTCAGGAGAAGGAAGTCTTGTTCAGGGCCACACACTGAGGAGACAACCAGGATTGTGGCTGAGGCCTAGAGACTCCAAAACCATCACCGTGGTGCTAAAGAAACAGCTTCAAAAGAGTTGGGTGCTAGGTTCAGTCACAGCCCTGAGCCTCCTCCCCTTTCCTGCCCGCCGAGCCTGCCTGGCGCTCATGCCACACGTGGCCTGTGCTTTCAGCATCTTCCTCATTGACCACGCCTGGACGTGTCGCGTGGAGCACGCGCGCCACCAGCTGCAGCAGGTGCCCGGGCTGCTGCACCGCATGGCCAACCTGATGGGCATCGAGTTCCACGGCGAGCTGCCAAGTGCTGAGGCTGTGGCCCTGGTGCTGGAGGAGATGTGGAAGTTCAACCAGACCTACCAGCTGGCCCATGGGGTGAGCTCACCCCCAGGCCCGGGGCAGGGAAGACGGCCACGGTGTGCAGGCTGGGCTTCCCCCGTGCCCCGTGGAGGCTCTGCACAGTCCCTGGGGTCAACCAAGGTTGTGGGCCCGGTGCCCACCCAGCCCTTGGCCTCACTCTTCATAGCTTTATCAGAGTGATGGCCTGGGCCCGGATGACTTGGCCCTTCATTATTCCTTTCTAATCCCGTCCCTCTGTCTCCCTCCTACACACACACACACACACCAGACACACACACACACCAGACACACACACACACCAGACACACACGCACACACACCAGAAGAGGCTCAAGCTCTCATTACTCATCCATGTGGCTTTGAGAGACCCCTTCTTTCCTTTACCCCACCCCCACCCTGACTCAAGGCCCCCTGGCCCCAGAGAGCAGGGAACGCAGACACCCCCGTGTTTGTTGCAGAGCACTGCCCCCCCCCATGCCTCCACCCCCCCACCAAGTTCTCACAGTGCCCCATGGCCGCCCCTGTCCAGGAGGCCTGGGACTCCCAGGCCCAGAGCAATTTGGCAGAGGTGCATGTGGGTGGAGGGGTGCCCAGAAGGGCAGGGCGGGGGGGCACGTGGCTGACACTGACCCCGCTGTGCCCGCAGACGGCGGAGGAGCGCGTGCCTGTGTGGTACATCATGGACGAGTTTGGCGCGCGGATCCAGCACGCGGATGAGCCCAGCTTCGCCACCGCACCCTTCTTCTACGCACCCCAGCAAGTGGCTTACACCCTGCTGTGGCCCCTGCGGGACCTGGACACCGGTGGTAAGTGAGGTGCATGCCCGTTCCGGAGGATGGGCCTGGGAGCGGCCGCGGCCCCCCGCTGATGGGCACGCGTGTCTCCACGCAGAGGAGGTGACCCGGGACTTTGCCTACGGAGAGGCAGACCCTCTGATCCGGAAATGCAGGCTGCTGCCCTGGGCCCCCGTTGACATGCTGGACCTCAGCTCCTCCACGCCCGAGCCGCCTGCCGAGTATTACCAGGTGTGCCCTCTGCCTCTGACCCCAGGCCTGTGTGCCTGGTGGTTTCTGGAACGTTCTCCATCCAGTCACCAAATGTTTCTGAATGCCAACTGATGCCAGACCCTGAGCTGGTTACTGTGGGAGGGAGGGAAGCATTTGGTGAGAGACAAGGGCTCGGCGTGGGCAGGAGGTCCCCATTGCGCAGCCTGCACCTGTCCCCACCTCAGTCCCGGGCGCCTGGTGCTGGAATCAGGGCCCCAGGGGCTCAGCTGAGCTGGACTGGGCCGGGCCCAGGGCCTGGGGGCAGTAGGGGTGGGGAAGGGGAAACAGGCTGGGCAGTTGGATCTTGCTCATCACCAGCTCACCTCACTGTGCCCCCACGGTGGGTGTCTGTGGGTGCTCACGCTTTTACATCAAGTGGGGAACCCTGCACGGCCCCTGTGTGCTTCACGTCGTCTTGGATGGCCTCTGGTGCCTCATGCAGTGGTGCGAACTAATGCAGTGGTGCGAGCCATTGTCAGTACGGTGCTGCTTGGGGAGCAGTGACCAGGACAAAATGCCTGCCACGTCCCGCAGCGTGAAATTACTTCTCAAGTGTATTAGACACACTGTCAGTTAGATCAAGGATAGAGAACCCATGGGCGCAGAGGTCTGAGTGTTCAAACACAGGGAGCTCCAGGGCACAGCGGGCCCTAGCACTCTAGGCTACTTCTGAGCCATGGGCCCAGCGGAGCAGCTCAGAAGTGCAGGCTGGCGGGGAGACCTCATGCAAGGAATGGGGCTCGGTGAGGCTTTGGCCAGGGGAGGGGAGCTGGGGTCCAGAGCCAAGGGGACGTGAGAGCTTCAGAGCCCATCGCGTGTGAGGCTGCGGCGTGCCCGAGGGTTTTGGGAAGGCCTCGCGGGGGCAGCGCTGTGCTGCGGCCCCGCGGTCCCTCGAGTGCTGCTGGCTGACGGCCTGCGGCCTGCCATGGTGGACACCTCCAAAGCAGCGGCTCTGAGGGAACCACTGTGCCACACAGACCCACAGGCGGACCTGTGCGTGGGGCTGGAGAGGGACAGGCACGCTGGCCTGGAGGCCGGCTGTTAATGGGACAAAAAGGGACGTTAGTGTGCGCCTTGGAAAGTTCTGAGGGAAGAGGAGCAGGCCACCTGCCCTCACCTGGAACGTCCTTTTTCCAGGCGACCGCTCAGGTCAGGCTGTGACCCACGTGGCTTCTGTGGAGCTGGGGTTTGGTGGCACTCAGTGCGCTGCCCCGGCTGTGCACTATGGCTGGGGCTGAGGCCCCGGTGAGGCGGTGCTGACTGTTGGTGTTGGCTGGAGGCCTCTGCTTTTCCACATGGGGCCTCTTCGTGGGCTGCCCCGTGTCCCCGTGTCCCCGTGGCATGGTAACTGACCTGGCCAGAGAGAAAGTGAGAAGCCGCTCAACACCTGGTGGCCCGCCTCCGGAGTGCCTCGTCTCCACTGCTGCTGCCCAGGAGACGCAACCGCTAGTGCGGCCACCTTCGACGAGGTGGACTGAGCTGTGCCTTCGGAAGAGACGCAGCTCGTGGACCTGCCCCTGCGCCAGTATGAGGGCTTGAACTCAGGCTTGCAGACGGTCCCTTTGCTTTTTTGTCCAAGGCTCTACCATTTGAGCCACAACTCTACTAACAGCTTTTTGGTTGTTAATTGTAGATTTTCACACACTGCTGCCCAGGCTGGCCCTCCGCTGGCCGAAGCCTCGAGCCCCACTCCCCACCCCAGCCCGACTTCTGAGCCCACAGCCCAGTGAGGCTACCCATGGCTCAGAAGCAGCTTGAAGTGCTCAGGGCCCACTGTGAGCTGGGAAGTGGAACTCCCTGTGTTTGAACACTCAGACATCTGCACCCATGGGTTCTACAGATCTTCAGATCTCAGCCTCCCGAGTAGCTAGGATGACAGGCGTGAGACTCTGGCGCTCAGCTATGTAAACATGTGTCAAGCCCTCCAGCACTCCTCGGATCAACAGCCCCTGCAGAAGACGCCAGGCTCCTTCCCACCTGACTCAGGCAGTGCTGAGATCAAGAGCGACCTTGCCTGTCTCTTCTTCTTGATGTAGAATTGGGCGGTTCTACACCCGAGAGACTTTGACCCCAAGACCCCCCAGGTGGTGGCCTAGCTCAGTCCTATCAGGGAGGCCCTGAGGTCCATTTTCAGCTCTGCTCTCTTCCTTCCAGGCCATCTTGGAGGAAAACAAGGAAAAACTGCCACTTCCCATCAGCCCTGCAGTGTACCCCCATGACCACATCTTCAAGTAAGTGTCTGTCCCTCGGTCACCGTCCTCCAGGAGGGGACGAGGCAGATCGCCGTGCTTCTCTTCAGCTGTCCCAGGCCGTCTGCCTGTATTGATCATTTTGTATGGCCTTCCAATCGTCATAAATTCCTCCATGGCCCCTGATCTGCAGAGTTGAAAGCCAGCCAGGGCTGCATAGTGAGATCCCTCGCCAAAAAAAAAGACCTGAAGCCAGGCGCCGGCGGCTCACGCCTGTAACCCTAGCTACTCAGGAGGCTGAGATCTGAGGATCACAGTTCAAAATTAGACTGGACAGGAAAGTCCGTGAGACTTTTTCTCTAATGAACCACCAGAAAACCAGAAGTGGCTCTGTAGCTCAAGTAGTAGAGCGCTTGCCTTGAGCTGAAGAGCTGAGGGACAGTGGCCAGGCCCAGAGTTCAAGACCCACGACCGACCAAAAATAAAGCTCTGTAGACTGCAGGAGAGGTGTGCCTGAGTCCCTGGGGCGGGAGCTGTCAGGCTCTGTCACCAGTGAGGAGCCGTGCCCCCTTGTGCTGAGCTGAGCCAGACACCAGATTCTGCCTTTGTGGAAGCCCCTCCTAGAGACCCCTAAACCTGGTTCCGCTGCAGGTGGGTGGGGTGCTCTTCTCCACCCCCACGCAGGCCCCAGCAGACCACAGGAAGCCCACTCAGCGCCCTGCTCACCCCGGGCTTCAGTCCCTCTCTAGGGACTGGATCTTCACCCAGTGCCAGCCGCCTAGTCCGCCACAGCCCCTCGGGCCACCTTCACCCATTGTCCCACAGGCCTCTGGGCCCCCTTCACCTCTGCCCTGGGCTTGTCCTGACCTGACTGGCCTGCAGATCCCCTCCCTCCCCCCCCCATGGGAGAGCTCATCAGGGCTCCCATCCCATACCCACGCTCTTGTGGCATCCGCTGTCAGAGCAGTGGTAGCAGCCCACCCTCTACCCCCATGGAGCACTGTCTCCTAATGCCTACACTGCCCTGTTCCATCCCGTCCACAGACGCAGGACCTAAGCTCCCGTCCTGAAGTGAGAATCTGGGCACAGAGGGCACAAGGTGCCCAGCCCCTGCTGACCCGGAGCCCCGGGCAGGAGCTAACCCCACCCCACCCCCCGCAGGGTGCACACGGACGTGCAGCAGGTGCTCAGCCACCTCAACCACCCGCGCTTCACCTTCACCCCAAGCGAGGCCGACGCCGACATCCTCTTCAACTTCTCTCACTTCAAGGACTACAGGTGGGGTGGCCTCCCAGCCCCCCGGGCCTCCGCCAGGCCCCCGCTGCGCTCTGAGCCAGCTACTGCTCCACCCACAGGAGGCTCAGCCAGGAGCGGCCACGCGTGCTGCTGAACCAGTTCCCTTGCGAGAACCTGCTGACGGTGAAGGACTGCCTGGCATCTGTGGCTCGCCGGGCAGGCGGCCCTGAGGGGCCCCCCTGGCTGCCCCGCACCTTCAACCTGCACACCGAGCTACCCCAGTTCGTCAGCTATTTCCAGCAGCGGGAGAGGCGGTAAGGCCCCCAGGCAGGCGGGACCCCGGACAGCCTCGCCCTGCCAACTTCCTACTCCGCTGGCTTCCTGGGAGACACTAGCTCGCCTCACAGTGGGCCTGGGGCCTGCGCCCCTGGTGCAGCATTGCCAGCCCCCTACTCCCCTAGGGGTGAGGACAACCACTGGATCTGCAAGCCCTGGAACCTGGCCCGCAGCCTGGACACGCACATCACCAAGAGCCTCCACAGCATCATCCGGCACCGCGAGAGCACCCCAAAGGTGGGGCCCGGCCCAGGCCTGGGTGGTGGGCGGGGTCCGTGGTCACTGGGCTTTCGGGAGTGAGCGCTGGGGCCGGACCTGGCCTCGGACCACGCACTGACCGTGGAGGAGGCCCCGCCCACCTCAGGCAAGCAGCGCTGACCGCCAGAGTGACTGCGGCAGGAGGGTGGGGGGCCGGAGGGACACCAGGTGCAGGGGCGGGACGTGCGGAGGGCACATTGGGGCTCAGAGGACACAGGTCTGCCCAGGCCGTGTCTGGGGTGGGGGCCGTGAGGGTGCTCATTGAGGGGTGAAAGGAGTTACAGGTGAGGCTAGTGCATGCATTTTTTCCATTAGATGTGATTCCTAGATGGGGTTGAAGTAAGGAAAGGGCAGTGGTGGCTGGCCCAGGCGGGACTGGGCAAAGGGGTCCTGGGCTCAGGGAGGAGCCCTGTCTTGGGTGCGGGAACTGAAGCGAGCCCATGCCACCTCCAGGTTGTGTCCAAGTACATCGAGAGCCCCGTCCTGTTCCTCCGAGAGGACGTGGGCAGCGTCAAGTTCGACATCCGCTACATTGTGCTGCTGCGCTCCGTGACGCCACTCCGGGTGTTTGTGTATGACGTCTTCTGGCTGCGGTTCTCCAACCGGTAGGTAATCTGCGGGCCCGGGGTGCTGGCTGACCAGGCGTGGCGAGGGGCTGGGCCGAGGGTCTCCTCCTCCATCTGCCAGCTTGTGACCCTTTGTTCCCGGGTGGTGGTGAGGCTAGCGTGGGCACGTGACAGGCGTGACGGCTGGTCGTGGCTGCAGATTTCACAGCTCCTTCTCCTGACCCCAGCTCACACCAGGGAACCAGTGCCAGCGTGGCCAAGGGGTGTTGTGTCCCTGGTTCCCAGCAGCGGCTCAGCTGTCCGCTTGTTCTCTAGGCCCTTTGCACTCAGCGACCTGGACGACTATGAGAAGCACTTCACTGTCATGAACTATGACCCGGAAGTGGTACTGAAGCAGGTAGGGCCTGGGATGCGGGTCCTTGGTGTGGCTGTTAGAAACATCTTGAAAGCAGCAGTATTGTGCCAGGCACAGGTCCTTGGTGTGTGGGGGTCCTGAGGCAGGTCATGGCGTGGGGTCAGCAGTGGACACCTGGGAAAGGTGGCTGTTCAGGTGTCAGGGCTGAGGCACAAACGTGAGATGCCTGGCCGCCAGCTGGGCAGCAGGTGCCCGCACCAAGGCCAGCTCTGAGTGCTGGAAGGAGGATGGAGAAGCAGACCTCCAGATGTGTGTCCCAAGCCCTCTCTGTCCTGCTGCCTGTCCACCAAACCCCATCTCGCCTGTCCCGCCTCACACTGTCCACAGCCAGATGTATGGAGATGGCACGGGCACACCTTAGCGGACCCCTCCACAGCCCAGCCCTGGTTTTCCATGACTGGTGTTTGTGCCAATGCTATGTGATTGGATGTGTTCTGAGACCTCACAGGGTGGTTCCAGATCTTTGTGGCTGTTGAGTAGTGACGCATGGTCCTCATGTTGACCCCGTACCTGCACTACCTACTGGGGGGTGGCTGCCATGTGCCCACTCCCCACAGGCAGAGCATGGCCAGGTGGCCCTGTGGCCTCTTGCCCTTGACCACTCTAATCTGAGTATTATTAGAAGCCATCGCTAAGGGCTCCAAGCCCTCCTGCGCCCCTTGTGGGAAGCTGCGTCCAGCGGGCATGCCGGGTGCTGGCTGCTCTCCAGCCTCCTGGCCCGTCCTCAGGCAGAGCTCGGAGTCTGCAGCCGGTGCGGCTCCGCCCGGACCAGTTCTGAGCCATGCCTGCTGGCAGGGCGCTGCCCACCCGCCTCCTGTGCCCTGGCACTCAGGCGGTGTACTGCAGCCCCGCAGGCGGGACGGGGAGCAGGGACTTTTTGCAGGGGGGAAACAGCCTCAAAGTTAAATCTGCCTGCCGGGCACCGGTGGCGCTGGCCTGTCATCCTAGCTACCCAGGAGACTGAGACGTGGAATGTGGAGGTTCAAAGCCAGCCAAGGGCAAAAGTCCAAAAAGTTATGTCCAATTACCGGGCGGAACGCAGAGCCGGAGGTACCGGTGCCCGCCGCTCATCTCTCACGGGAGGATCCCGGCCTCCCACGTGGTGTGCCTTGCAGGGCTGGGATTGACCCCGCCTGGGCCGTGCGGGCTGCGGCCAGCCCGAGCGTTGCGACAGGCCTTGATGTGTTGCAGGTGCACTATGACGAGTTCATCCCTCAGTTTGAGAAGCAGTATCCGGCGTTTCCCTGGAGCAGTGTCCAGGTGGGCCTGCGCCCTGAGGCGGGGACAGAACTGGGCCTGCAGGCTGCCCTTCCCCTCCCGGCTCAGTGGAGGGGTGCTAGTGCCTTCTGTTGGTCCTCTGCCTCCCACTGAGTCTATAGCGATGGCTCTGCTGCCCCTAGGCCTGTGTGCGGGGTTGTGGGCTCCCACAGCAGAAAGGAGTGACCTGAGAGTATTTGGGACACCGTAGGGCAGTCAGAGGGTGACAGATGTGACAGGCTCCGTGGAAGGTGGGCCTCTACCACCTGCAGGAGCTCTGGGCAGAGGTTAGGATATAGCAGTGGCCCGGTGGAGAGGCCCTGGGCTGCATTCCCAGCACCTCCAGTGAAGGCAGCCCTGGCTGGTCTAGAGACCCCAGAAGAGGAAGAACGGTTCAGGCCACAGGGCTGCCGCGTACAGCTAGGAGGGGCTGGGGCTTCTCCCAGCGTCCATGCTGAGCAGGCCGCCTCGCCTGTCCCCAGGCTGAGATCTTCCAGGCCTTCGCCAAGCTTTTCCAAGCCGTGTGCGCCAAGCCGCCCCCCCTGGGCCTGTGCGACTACCCTTCGTCCCGGGCCATCTACGCCATTGACCTCATGCTCAAGTGGGACAGCCATCCCAGTGGTAAGCAGCCCCCAGCCCGTGCCGTGCTCCCCCTCCCCCACCTGGGGCCCCCTTCCCACGGCCATGCTCTGCCCCCAGGGAAGCGCGTGATGCAGCCGCAGATCCTGGAGGTAAACTTCAACCCTGACTGCGAACGGGCCTGCCGCTACCACCCCACCTTCTTCAACGACGTCTTCAGCGCCTTGTTTCTTGACCAGCCTGCCGGCTGCCATGTCACCCCCCTCCTCTAGTCCCCCCGCCCTCTGGGCAGAGCCGTGGCGAGCAGGGGTGTCGGCAGGGCTGGGCGCTGCAGCCCGCTCTACTCTACCTGCAGCCGCCGCCGCCGCCTCCACCTCCACCGGGAGCTTTATTTTTCTAGTAGTAATGTTGCTGTTACCGTTGAGGTACTGTGCCCAGGCGTCCACTGGGGCTTACGCCTGACATCTCAGGACGGTTCCCAGAGGTGCCACGGGAGCCTCTTCCCTGAGTGGCTCCCCACAGGCGCCCAGACCAGGACTTGGGTGCGGCTCCCATCTTCGGGAGGCCAGCCACAGTTCTGCGTGCTGCGTGCTGCGTGACGCCGCGTCTGCCGTCCCCCAGCCCTGACGGGCATGTGCTCTGGGGCGGGCAGGCGGGCAGGGGCACCAGCATCGGCACCGGGAAGACAGGGCCCAGGAGAACTTTACGTTAAAGCAGAAGCTGTCTTCCACCAGTGTCTGTCAAACTGCAGGAGTTTCCATGGATGTAAAGTTCTAGTTTTTTCCAAGGTTTGTTCTGCCTGTTTCTGTGTGGCCAGTGCGCCCAGGCCCCGCTCACTAACGCTCCGGCTCTGGCTCGGGGACCCCCAAGCCAGTCAGCCTGAGGGAGTTCCCGGGGAGGCTGTCCGTCCCACCCCACCAGGCCCTCGGCAGCAGGGGTGAGTGCTGGGCGATGATCGTGGCTGGAGGACCCCAGCGTGGTGCCGGCCCAGCACACAGCGCAGCGTGGGGATCACCCAGGCTCACACTAGGAGTCTGCATGATGGGAGCCCTGGCCCGGCTGCCAGCTTGGAAGGCTCACACAAGTACGGTCACTTCCACACCCACAGGCCCAGAGTGGAGGCTGCCCTGGCCTTGGCTATGTCCTTGGAGAGAGGCCACTGGCGGCCCCCCACCCTCAGCTTGTGAGGAACCAGCCCTCTCCTGCTCCTGGGGCTTTTGTGGCTCTGGAGTGCGCGGTGCTGGGAAGACCCCAGGCTCTTCTGGGTGAGGTGCCACGCCGCTCCCCCTCCCCAGTCCCTGCCCCACACAGCCCACCGCACAGCTGCCTGCAAACTTTATTGGGTAGAAAATGACGGCCTGCCTCACGCAGCTCAGAGGCACGGGACCCTGCACCTGCATGGGACTGGGCCCACCCGCCCCGCTGCTGCTGGCGGCCCTGGGCTCAGGTCCACATCCAGATGGACGACAAGCAGGCAGGGCAGGCGTGGCTTTGGCAGCGGTGCTCAGTGCTTGGCAGGCCGGCCAGCATCCTCACTCCGGGCGCCACCTCCCGGGCCGGCCTCGGTTGTCTCGCCATAGGGTGTAGTTGAGCGCAGTGGCAAAGGCCAGCCAGGCCAGGTAGGGGTACAGCAGCCTGGCGGCCTGCGGACTCACCTGGTGCCAGGCCACGGTCGTGGCTGTCGCCGCCCCGCCAATGAGCAGGAGGTCCGCCAAAGCCTGCAGAAACAGCCTCAGTCACCGCTGTCCACGGCTGGGCTCGGGCCTCCCCAGCCTCCAGGGACCTGCCACGCCCGCCCTGCCTCTGAATAAGCTGGGCTGGGGCTCAGCTGGAGGCCTCAGGCTGTGCGAGGGGGCTCTGCTGTCCCCAAGGCTGGCCAGTGGTGGGGACCCCTGTCTGGCTCAGCAGGGACCCTTCTGAGGGGTTGGGGTGCAGCTCAGTGGACTTTTTTCTTTTGGAGGTGGTGGTGGTGACCCTGGGGCTTGAACTCAGGGCAGAGCACTGCCCCTGACTCTTGCTCAAGGCTAGCGCTCTACCTCTTTAATCCTCAGCACCCTTTAATCCTCAGCACCGCTTCTGGTTTTCCGGTGGTTAACTGGAGATAAGAGACTCATGGAATTTGCTGCCCAAATTGGCTTTGAACCATGATCCTCAGATCTCAGCCTCCTGAGTGGCTAGGATGACAGGTGTGAGCCACTGGTGCCTAGCTTAGTTTTTTTTTTTTTTTTTTTTTTTTTTGGTCCAGTCGTGGGGCCTGAACTCTGGGCCTGGGTGCTGTCCCTCAGCTCTTCAGCTCAAGGCTAGCGCTCCAACACTTGAGCCACACTGCCACTTCTGGCTTTCTTTTTTTCCTTTTTGCTTATGTGGTGCTGGGGAATCGAACCCAGGGCCTCATGCATGCAAAACAAGCACTCTACCATGGAGCCACCTTCCCAGCCCCTAGCTTAGATTCTTTTAAGCCAAGAAACGTATATGACAGTCCTAGGGCTTAAACTTAGGACCTTGAGCTTTTGTTTAAGGCTAGCATTCTGCCACGTGGCCATAACTCCACTTCCAGCTTTTTCTGAGTAGCTTATTGGAGCTGAGTCTCATGGGCTTTCTCAGCCTCGTGGGACTGCAGGTGTGAGCCACCAGCGTCTGACAAGACACTTTTTTTCCTCTTTTTCTTGTTTGAGGCTGGGCCTTGCTGCACTGCCCAGGCTGCCCTGGAGCTTGGGCTCAAGCCAAACTCCCGAGTGTGTACACTGCAGGTGCGGCCAGCGTGCCGGGTGGAGGGGCTGGAGGCATTCCGCTGTGAGCTCCCTGCCACTGCCCGCTGCCCACATCCCCAGGCCACCCGCAGGGAGTCAGGCCAAGGCCGCACTTACCCAGCCCATCTCTCGGGCACCAAAGAAGATAGGCGGCCACGTCCAGTTCAGGGCCAGCTGCCCAGCGTAGAGACCCAGGGGAACCACAGCCTCCTCTGTGAAGCCGCCCAGTTCTTTCCAGACCATGTAGGAGCCATATCTAAAACAGAGGCCACTGGTCAGAAGGACACCATCAGAGAAAGGGCCAGAGCCTCACTCATCTCTGAGATGGCAATGATGCCGTCACTGCCTCCTGTGTGATGTCCAGGAAATCACTTGACCTCCCTGGGCCTTCGTCTTATAGGATTGCTGTGGGGGCTTACACACACAAAACAGCACCTGCTGCTATTTTCAGCAGTGTCATAAAGGGCAGATTCATGGAGAAGGCTTTGAACCTAGCCAGGGGCCCTGCCAGCCACAGGCATCTGGCCCAAATCTGGCATGATGGGAGGAAGCAGGGATAGAGATGTGAGCCACAGCAGGTCTGTAGAGAACATTCTAGGAGGAGGAGGGGACTAGTTGACCTCTGACCACACTCTGAGGCAGTCCCCACAGACACCACCAGGGGACGCCCTTCCAGTCACTGGGCACTTTCCGGGCAGGTCCCTTGTCAAACACAGGTTTTGGAACATGCCATCCTGGGCCCTGGCAATGCAGTCCTTGAAGCTGCACCTCTGCCACCGCAGTAGTTTCTCTTGGCACCAGTCCTAGAGGCCCACAGGCCAAACACACCCGGGGCGGGTGGAGGCAGCCTCCCCAAACCCAGAGGAAGGAGGCCCGCAGCCTCGCTGGGAACCGGGGCCGCCTCTGCGGGGGGCCACCCTCCAGGAAGGGGCTAAGCCCGCACCCACCTACCCCATGGCTGAGTAGAGCGTGCCCCAGATGGGGGCGAGCGCCCAGCGCGGCGGGTGCCACGCGGGCTTCTGGAGGCCGGCGTACCAGCGGAGACCCTCTCCTCGCACGAAGTAGGAGCCCACAAAGCCCCCTAGACTGGGCACCAGGGTGAAGCCCACCGGGGGCACCCAAGGTGGCGCCATGGGTGCTGCAGCTGCTGCTCCAGGAAGTCCTGAAAGAACAGAGGGTGGGGTGAGGGCCTTCCCCAGCCCCGCGAGTTCTCCCACCTCAGACCCCCCACGTCCCTCACCCGATGCAGGTTCAAGATCCCCTCCACCTGGGCTGGGAAGGTGGCTCAGTGGTAGAGCGCTTGCCTTGCATGCTCAAGGCCCTGGGTTCGATTCTTCAGCACCACATAAGAAAAAAGCCGGAAGTGGCACTGTGGCTCAAGTGGTAGAGGGCTAGCCTTGAGCTGAAGAGCTCAGGGACAGCGCCCAGGCCCAGAGTTCAGGCCCCACGACCAGACCCAAAAAAAAAAATCCCCTCCACCCGGCAGGCTTCTGCCCTGCCAGCCCTGCCAGGCCTGTGCCTGTGTTCTAGCACCTTCTTCCTTCTTTCCTTCCTTTAGTGGCTTAACGGCAGACAAAGCTTGTTCCCCACCACCCACTGGGGCCTCAGGGAAGTCCCCTCAGCTTTCTCAGTTTCTCCTCGGTAGAGAGGGATGTGGCTGGGCACCGTGGCCCACACCTGACATTCAAGGGTCATGGTTTGAAGCCAGGCTGGGAAGGAAAGTTCATGAGACTGTGTGGGTACCGGTGCGCGTGCGCATGCACACGCACACGTGCCAGTCCTGGGGCTTGACCTCAAGGCCTGGGCCCTCTGCTCTGGCCCTGGTTTTTTTTTTGTTTTTTTTTTTGCTCAAGGCTAGTGCTCTGCCAGTTGAACAATAGCGCTACTATCAACTTATAGGTTGTACCACAGCACCACTTCCGGTTTTCTGGTGCTTAGTTGAAGAGTCTCAGAGACTTCCCTGCCTGAGCTGGCTTCAAACTGCAATCCTCAGATTTCAGCCTCCTAAGTAGCTGACAGGCGTGCACTACCAGCACCGGGTTGATGAGACTCTTATCTCCAACTAACCACAAAAAAGCCAGAAGTGGAGCTGTGAGTCCAGTGGTAGAGGACTAGCCTTAAGCAAGAAAGGTAAACAAGATCACAAAGCCCTGAGTTCAAGCTCATAAAAATAAATCTAGTTCCAAATAAATGCTAGACACCAAGTCTCGCAGTTCGGACAGGAAAGTGCACAGGCCTGCCAGGCACACACCTCTAAAATCCCAGCCTTCACAGGGCCTGAGTTCCAGGCCAGCCTTGATGAGGAAGACCCCAGCCCGCACAAGGCTTAATCCAGGCGAGCCTTGAAGGGAACGAAGATCCCAGGCCCTGTCACTCACCACTCCTGCTGAGCTCAGCGACTCCTGCCAGGGTTTGGTTTGGTTTGGTTTAAGAGGGTCTTGCTATGTAGCCCAGGCTGGCCTTGAACTTGTGATTTTCCTCTTGACCAACCATACACCTGACCATCTAAAGGTACACAGAGCTGGATGCCATGTAGAATGGGATCGGGGCTCACACCTGAATTCCTGGCTGCACAGGAGGCTGAAATCTGAGGATCACAGTTTAAACCAGCTCAGACAGAAAAGTCCAGTAATTGTTAATTTCCAATGAACCACCAGAAACCCGGAAATGGTACTGTGCCTCAAGGAGCTATATAGCACGAGCCTTGAGCAAAAGACTGAGCTCAAGCATTCAAGCCCCACAACCGACAAAGGTGTAGGATACCTCATATATTACCAAGTTCCACAACAGTTTCATCACTCAGAAAACCTGGGCTGGGAAGGTGGCTCAGTGGTAGAGTGCTTGCCCTGGGTTTGATTCCTCAGCACCACAGAAACAGAAAAAGCCAGAAGTGGTGCTGTGGCTCAAGTGGTAGAGTGCTAGCCTTTAGCTGAAGAGTTGAGGGACAGCGCCCAGGCCCAGAGTTCAGGCCCCACGGCCAACCAAAAAAGAAAAAAGAAATCCTGTGCCCGTGTGCAATCACACCCCGCCAGTGCCA